AAAATGCAGTGAAAAAGCAAAGCAGAACGACCCACATTCATTCTGTGAGGTTACACCTGATAACAGTATTGGGAAGCTCACGTTGTACAGCTTGTTAGGTTGCTACAGTGGTCTGGAGTTTGCAGACTCTCTCCAGGCCTGTGATGGTTTCCACTGGGTCCCCCACCAGTCCAAAGACATGTAGGTTAGACTAATCAGGTTAACCAGTTGGGTTAATTGGTGACAATAAATCATGCATAGGTTTTACTGAGTGTGAATGACCATCTTTATGCATCAAGCCTGCGACTGACTGACCACCTGTCCAGGCTGTAATGTCACCAACACACTGGAACAAACTACAGTGACCCTCAAAGATTAAAAAGAACAGCTAATGGATGGACAGAATAACTAACACACCAACAAACAGGAACTGCACACTACCCAACAGGACACAGTCCCTCTGAGGCGTCCTGCAGGGTAAACTGCAACTTGTGTCCTCTGAATATCATGAGAGTCACAAGACACCTGTTGGATGTCACACCTCTGTGACTCTTTCCATTTGTGCTCACGTCCTGCTCTTACCTTTGCTCATCCGTGAGATCTAAAGGTCACATTTTCTGCAGATTCCACAAATTTAAGGCAATAAAAAATTTTAAATTCTGAGATTGAATTAAACATAAAATGCACAATGGTATATGCAATAAAGACAAAGTGACACGGGAAAGTAGATGTTCTGTAATAGATTTTCACAACTTATTTTCTATTACAGAAACCTTAAAGTAAAGTTTTAAGACTTAAGTTTCAAGGCTGTAGCTACTCTAAAGCATCAACTTAAGTCATAAAAAAAAAAAAAAAACCTGGAACTGTCGTCTATTTTTATACCATTTAAAAAGCCAAGCATGAGCTTCCAAACACAGACAGGTCCACTCACAGTGATGGGGGTTTCCTCTGCGCTCCTCTTCTTGGCATTGGAGTCAAAGAGGACATTTCTGCCACGCCTCTCACAGTCCTGGTACACGATCAGCCTGATCTGGCTGGGCTCCAGCTGGGGAAGTGGCCAGCTAGATGGAAGGAAGGATGGACAGGAGACTGTCAGCCAGTGAGCACTGATACATTTGATATCGCTTCCATGAGACAGGTGAGTGATGGATGTTAAAATCACATCTGAAAACACTTTCTATGTGAACTGGCCTTTAAAACTGTTTCATAACAATACATTTCCTCTGCCAGGACAACAGATAAAAAAAGTGGGATTTTTGGCAGCCTCAGCTCCATGGCTGTTGCTAGGTAACATGTGGTTTCACACTCTCTCATTAGAGATGGTCATCTCAAGTAACAGTATGAATGATGTGGTGGCAATCTGCACCTGCATCCAGAAACACCTGGATATCTGACAATCACACCAGCAGGTCCCCCCCCCCCGGCGATCCCCTCTGCTTTTGGGGAACCTCAGTGCCCTGGTTGATTTATTTGGAGCTATACAGACAGGAGACTGAACCAACAGACAGACAGTCAAGGATTTGTGTGTAATCCGGCGGATGGTCAGGCACATGGACACAGTTCTGAACCTAAATATAGCCTTTTATTGGAGAGCAGGGGATCAGTTAAGTCCAGCTCATGTGCCAGCAAAAGAGCACACACAAGTCCACATTCAAAAGCAGCACTTCAATTGTTGGTCAGTAAGCCTTGACAGCAAAGGGGATTCCGGTGAGTAAGTGAATGGGGCAGGCAAGAGAAGAGGTCTGTGTACGCTCCCATGCATGTTATCTACAATTTACCAAGCACAGTTGTGGAAAAGAGGTTTCCATTGAAATGGAGAGCAAATTTAAATTGTGGGAGTGAACTGCTATAATGCAGTAAAATCGTTTCTCCCTGCAAAGTTTCAAAATGACTTCCAGAGTGCTTTGACAGGTGAGGCCTACCACGACAATTAGACTAAAACAAAGCCCATGCAGGGATTGTTAGACTACAATCAATAAGTGTCTTTTTGTCATCATACCACCTAACAGAAGAGATGTTAAGGCCTGAAAAACACGACTCTCATTGTGTCTGGAGGGAAATCAGCGCATAGAAACCTGTGAGTCTCTGAGAAACACAGAGTATTCTTCACCTCCTATGTTCCTGTAGCTACTAAAACCAGCTCCATCTGTTTAGGAAGCCCCACTAGCTCCTTGTGGACCTAGAGCAGGGTTTATTGACCTCTAAGCAACAGTATGTAACAGATTCTCACAAATGAACCAAAAAAAAAAAAGCTATTTGTTGACACTGAGGTTTATGACTGGTGGTTTCCTATGCTGGTTCTTCTTAGTTTAAAGGTTACTGGCACACTAGGCACTGCTGTTAAGAAGAATCACTTCTGTGAGAAACCTTCAGCAGTCTCATTCCATAGTTGTGATTTGAAAGCTGATCTGTAAGTTCCTACTTGGAGTTGTGCACTTCATTCTGGAGCTGCTACTAACAATTTCATTATCAATGAATCTGTTCTCAATTAACCGATCATTAATTTAGCCAAACAGTAGAGAGAAATGGCCATCACAGTAACAACTGTAAATCGCTTACCGGTAGTTTGCCCAACCGACATTGATCATTTACTACAAAGATGAGAAGTATGAACTAGTAAATGTTTGACATTTTTGCTTGAGAAATTACCTCAACAGTTAATCCAATATCAAAGTAGTTTCCATCCAATTAGCTTTCTTTGATTAACTAACTAATCACTGCAGCTCTATCTTACTGGAACTACTGTCACAGTTATACAAGCTGATCTTGACGACCACATCCGGTCATTCTTCAGTGGGACACCATTAACCGGACGCTGAGGGATCTAATCAGTCAACGTATATCACCCAGCCCGAGTCTGCCACCCTCCTCTGGATGTAGACTGAACCTGAGTCATATTAATCAGCTGGTGAATGGCAGCTTCGTTTGTTGTTTTGACACATGCCTCCTTGCATATGAACTGCAAAATTTCATGGGTTATGTATTAATACTTTTTTTGACTTTGCTGTTGCTTTTAATGTGTTCAACTTTTGTGCGTCATTGTACAACGCTCAGAAGTTGTGTTCTTCTGCTCATGGGTTAAACACTTAAAGATACCCTGATGTATTTACATTTTTCCCCTGATAATTTGGTAGTGTTTTTAGTTTCTAGGGTCAAAGGACAGATGTCATATGCTGTACAGACTGAAAATCCCCTTGAGCTGATATCAGGCTACATAAATAAAATTTGATTTGATTTACAAATCACCCCACAGAGAAACTATTATCTGACACAAAGCTCACTGCTCCTTTTGTTTAAAACACAGCGGAGAGAAAAGACAATGAGAGACACAAGGAAGAAGGAATAAACAGGACAGAATGCACAGCAACAAAGACAGAGCCTTTTTATAAACAAAAGCAAACAGAGTGAACTATATTTCCAAAAGACTAGCTAAGAAGTCAACAATTTACAAGAGCAGCAACAAAATAAAAGACAAAATAATTATGAAGACAGGAAAAAAAATGCAGCTAACATTAGAAGACAGTCAGAGAGAGACTCGGCAGAGATAATGAAAGGAAAGGTCATAGAGAACAAAAAGGCAAACAAAAACATCTGACAACGACAGAAGAGCATCTGAAAGAAAGACTAAGCAGAATGAGAGCAAAGGAGGAAGTATCCCATTGGCGAGCTTGTGACAGTCACAGCGCTGACAGAGGAGAGTCATTCATAAAAGCAGCGCATGACTTCATGACTCTCACATACTGTACTTGTACTGCTTTGACCTCGATTGTCTGAATCAAACCTCACTCCAATGGTCACACACACACACGTATTTATCTCCTTGAACAACCTGAGGAAGACCTCGGTTTATTTTGGTTACATTTCAACATGTAGCCTCAATGTCTCTGAAATGTTCAGAATCTCCTTTAACAAATGTTATCAAATATAAAACCACAGATAAAAAAAACAGCAACTCTGAACTCCATTTCCAACCAAACACGTACAAGGCAGATGCCAATTTTCTTATCTAAAAACAAAAGACATGCTTCAATAATAAACCCATTAAAACACGACCTAGCATGATGATAAAATCAGTCTCTGTCTTTGCTACAACAGCCGATGCTAAAAACTACTGGCTGTCTTGAAACTGGAAGTTCCGTCCACAGGTTGCCAACCTGTGGGCAGATGAAAACTAAAAGGTAACAACAGCACACACACTGCTTTCAAACCTACTTTAGCTAGCTAGCACTACAATCCCTACTTGGATGCACATAAGCCTGGTTAAAGAATACCAAATCCTACCTGGGCATCATTGCGAGTCTACCAGTCTTTCCCCTGCCTTCTCCCTCTCTCGGTACCTCCCTCAGCACCAGCAGGGTCTAAGAATAGCGGTGAACTAAATTCACACAACATGAGGCTGTCAGGTGATTGCAGGAGCAGAGTGTGTGCTGGACAGTACAGTGGCAGCAATGGCAGAAACTCCACAGTGCTGACTGCCAGCAAGCACTGCGATAAGAGAGTCACACCTGCTCTTTTTGTTCCCCTCTCCCTTGTGTTGCCGTCTTCACAAAGAGGACAAATTGGAAGAAAGAGCGGGAACTTCCTTTCCTGATAAATTGACTGTGGTCCGTTTTGTGACAAGTGATAGCTCATTGAACTCTGTAGCAAAATAGAAAAGTGATCTGTGAGTCAGTATGGAGAAGTGAAAGGTTTACCACAGTGGAAAATGTGAGTGATTACTCGCATTTTGAGACCAAATTTAATTAAAGGTGCAAAAGACCTTTTTCAAAAGAAACACTGCAAAATAAACACCTTATGCACAAACGATGCTCTCACTGTAAAAGCAGTGGACAGACATAACTATCTCTGTGATGCTGCCATCACAGCGTTTATCTGCAGGTCTGTTAGACTTAGGGTACATTAGACTTCCAATCCATCAAATATGTCTTGCCACACTGGACCCCTGTTTTACACTTCAAGTTTATTTTTTCCTTTGCCGCATTTGAAGTTTAATCACCACAAACAGCTGCTTAAATCAGGTAGATCACCTGTTTGCCTCTTTATGTGTTGGAAACTTTCTACTCGAATCACTTCTGATGGATCAGAAGTGTATAAAACCTCAGTAAAAATTCAGATATCGCGACTCCTTTTTAAACAAGTGAATTAGGTTTATGAGGTTTTAACAAAATCATGTAAAAAAAAACTAATAAGGCTGCCTGCACCACCTCTCTGTGACACACTGTCATGTAGAAATCTCAGCACAAACACATACTGGGCTCTTTGGCCCACGTCAGCATGGTTGTTTCCTCAGAAGGCTGTGGTGACAGGGGGCAGGCAGAACCAGCAGTCCGGGTGTGGGTGATGAGGACAAAGCCGTTGGCTCAGGCCACGGACTGACTACAGGATGAGCCAGGAGCTCGCGGTGTTATGTACAGTATGCTATCCCTGATCAGGTGCAGCAGCCAGAGAAACAGGAGAGGCTTTTTAGGTTTTCATTCCAGGGCAGCCAACCTGCTGACCTCTGAGGTATTCTCGAGGGCACAGTGCTGTGCTGTCACACAGCGTTGGGTGACGGATTATGCAGGGCAGCCAGGATGGAAAACAGATGAAATTATAAAATATAAAACACACTCTGTGCATATGCTCCCTCCGCTCAGGGACTACAGAGTCCACTGGATAAACTACACTGTTTAAGTGTATTTATGAATATTTACATGTATTATTCTGACCATCCCCAATACACATCATCTCCAATCTATTAGCAATCAGCAAAGCAAGCTTGTAATACCAGTCCTGTTGATATACTACAGTATACTATGTTCTGGTCTAGCTCTAATAAATTAAATCTAGCCTGAGAACTCAGATTGAGTAAAACCCGAAACATCATGAAATTTGTGTCTTCAAAGTCTCAGCTGAAATCAACTGGAACAACTAGTCAGATGTGTATAACATCTGCTTTCTTACATAAGTAGTGCTGAGTGCAAACAAATACAATGTTGGTAGGTCTGCTGTGGTTTTAAAACATTAATACTTAACTGAGGTTAAGAACACTGTGACTGCCCTCATCTCCAGTTACACCTTATCCTCTCATCTGTCTATCCTCCAAGGCTGTCTGCGTAACACCTGACCACCCAATGTTTACATTATTTTGTCCTCTCCCATCATCCAAGGCTTTATTAAAACTATGTCATTCCCCTCTGACTGGATCCACTCTGCCTCTCTCACCCTCCACTTTAACACTGAGATGTTCTCTTCTTTTCAAACAACTTGCCTTTGACTCTCCAGAGCAGTTCATACCTGAGGAACGGGGGAGCTCAGAGGTATGAAGAGCACAGCTGAGTTCACAGAGCCGCCTGCTGCCTGTCTGTTGGCTCTAAGATCAAAGCCAACCACACACACGCATAGAATTTATATCACTGGGTACAGGGCACCTTTATGGCATGAGCACAGACATGGGCCAAAGTGGAAGAAGCACCACAATGAAATGAGCTTCCAGGTTCACTGGTATATCTATCCACCATGGGTGACAATCAGAGCAAAACTGTCCAACGCAAGTGTATTTAAAACTAAAAAAAAAAGCACTTTCCCCCTGGCATCAGACCCCAACTTAGAATGTGGGTCAGGGAGGGAACATACACAGATAAACTGAAAGTCTACTCAAGATCCCAGAGGCCAGCTCAGTGAAGTGCTTAATTTGACCTACTGGTATTTCAAAAACAAGTACTTATACTGCTTCCAGTAACATTATACATCATGCTGTAACTGTATATTCTCAGCAAAATACAGGAATAATGCATATATTACATTTACTCAAAAATCTGCTGTACCTTCTGCTAGGCATGACCAGCACTGTGATATACATGTCAGGATCGGACAATGGCTGCTTTACAACAGGTCACTGTTAACAGGAGTTTTATCAAATAATTGCTTGGAGCAACAATACAAAGCATTTTGTGCAAAGGGGCCTGACACAGAAATAAAACAGGACAAATATATATTTTTTTAAATAAATTCCTGCTTATCGGCTTTAGTGGATTTAAGAAACCTGCAACCAGCACAGTACTGTCTTGTTCTATATTGTTACTGAACTAAGCATCACTGTTGCACCCTAATATTATGGAAGGATTTGTTTGGTAACACAAAATTAATCATGTGGTTACATTTCCATAAAACAAGAAACAACCGTATCGACAGCTCTGAACAAAGGCGATAACCGTAAATGTTTTCACATTGTGCATCCTGGGTCTACAGTCTGTCTGCGGAGGCTGGACCTCGGTTTGCCGCGGACCTGTCTGTCATCAGTGGCCGACTGAAGTGATCACATGTGCTTGGACAGAGAGCACACTGTGTCCTCCTCTGTTATCTGACGGCACTGGCGGAGACTACACTACCACACTTGTAACGTTACTTGTGCTCCAGCTTATCGGGCCAATAGCTCACGATAAGCGACGACAAGAACGTGACTGTTGCTCTCACGGATGCCTCGCTGCGGTCCTGTTATCATGCAGGCTGAACTGCAGTTACCAATGAAACGCATAGGGGGGACACGGGGGAGACAAAGGCGAAAGCAAAGCATTGCTTCTGCAACTTCTAAGCGATGATACAGATTAGATGGAGAGGAAGCAATTACTGTAAACTCGTCCGTTTGTTTTTAACGACACATGACCAGCAATACGTGTGTGAACGAGAAAAAAAGTGCTAGTTAATAAGATAACCCGAGGCGAGTCACACAGCGGCAGCATGTGCAGGAGTCCCGCTAACGTCTGGTAGCTAATGCTAGCAATAGCGTGTTAGCCAAGCTCTCCAACAAGCACAACACGTATCCCACGTCTGACTGCACGTTGCTGCATTCAAGTCAGATAACTTACACAAAAGTACACAACGTAATTTGTAAAATGACTCCAAGTTGAGAACATTCACTACGTCAAAATCAATGCTTCCAACCACCATAGCGAACAGTCATCAATGCGTTACTGTACACACAGCGTTAACGTTACACACACACACACACACACACACACACACCTCGAACGTACACACAATTAATATCTACCTGAAAGCTGGGTCCTCTTTGCCACATCTCGGGGGCGGCGACGAAAATGCATTTCTCTTGTTGAAAAGTTTCTGGAAAAGAGTCGGAGCCATTTTGTACCAAAGTAACTTCGATACAGAAGGTCTCTTTTCTTTTCAAATCCAAGACCAAATCTTGTTCCTTGTAACTGTCTCCATGGGTGTCACAGTCATATGACAGGCATTAGTCACAGGAGCCGCTTGGTAACCCACTACATTTTTTCTGATTGGCTTACAGGACGCTGCTGCTACTACAAAATATCTGATTGGCTGGTATTTTTGGCCCGGTACCACGTGGTCAGTGGATTCGCTGTGTTGATGTTTTGTCGGGAATCATGACAGCATGAAATTTAGCCACAGAAATCATACAATTATGGCTGCTGAGCTACCTGCAAGACACTGTAAAAGATCCTTCAAACACCCATGTGAGAAAAGAGCTAAGTGTAAAAACAAAGCAAAAACAAAACGGTAAAAACTTTTATTTACTTACATTAAGCGTTTTTTCTTACTCTCGAGAATGTCTAAATTTGCATAGGTCTAGAGTCAGTTGACTCAAAATTTAGCATATCACAAGGAGAGATCTATAACAAACTTACATTTATCTTTCATTAAACACAAATGGCACACAATGCGATATAAGTAAGTTTCACAAACATCACAGTGTGTAGGCTAGGAGCTATACTTCACATATGAAACTTGATCAACCTCTGCCCGGAAAAGAAACACGATTATTTATGGTTACTGAATCAAATGCAGGTCGGACATCTAGTGGTCACATTGCACCACGCACCTTTGATAACCCTTAGAGTCAGCTTTATTGGCCAGGTGTGTTGGACACAGAGAAATCTGACTCTGGTATAGTGGATCTTCCCTAAGGCAACGAGTAGATAAGTAAGCAAGATAAGACTGAGAGAATAAAAAAGAAAAAGAATGTGCATTATAAAAATAAAGTACTTATACATATAGAAGTATATACACACAGTTTAGATGCAGTTTTCCAGATAGATATATACAAAAGTGTATTTACAGGTATCGCACTGAGGGTTGTTGTTCTTTTATACAGTCATGGGTTAAGTGTTCATCGGGGAGATGGTGTGGGGAAGAAGCTGTCCTTATGCCTGGTTGTTTTGCCGTACAGCGACCTGTAGCACAGTCCAGAGGGGAGGAGTTCAAACAGTTTGTGTCCAGGGTATGAGGGGTCTGCAGAAATCTTTAAGTTTCTGCTTATAGGCTGGGATGAGATGGGCTGTGCAGTGATGCAAAATAAATATAAAATGAAACTTGGGGTTTTTGAGTGCAAACAGTGAAACTAAATTTTCATAAACAGCAGTATTCAAAGGACCAATCGTGTGAACTGGCTTGGTCACTATCAAAAAAATCATCTGACAGTGCCACAGTGTTTGTGGAATAACAATAAAGGCCAGGTAGAGAAGCAATTGGAGTTAAAAGGTCACTTGGATTATATTCACAAGGTTCATGGTGAGCAGGCGCATCCTAAATGGCAGGCTGTGGTGTCTCTTTGAACAACATATTTAATTAATAATTAAACAGCTAATTGAATTTCATTTTCCGTTTTAGACATTTAGACTGTGAGAGGAAATAAAGGAGCACTTCTGAGTTTGACAGATCCCTGTCATTATCATTAAGCAATTCAAAGACATTGGCTTTCTTTGGACTTTCTGCAGAAATTTTAAGCATCATACTCAGATGTAATGTGTCATGTTTAACGTTTATCTCACCCGTTCTAGGTGTCTCTGCCTCAGGCTTCAGCTGGGCTGGATGTTTGGACTTGTTCATTAGCATTATGAATGTTAAATTGCGTAGTTGGGATGTGCTTTGCTTCATAGATTGCAGGAGTAATGAGGCTTTTGAGCAATACCCTCTTCATGCACATGGTGGACCTTTTTCTTGTGAACTGAGCAAGCCAATGTGTATTTTTAGGCTTTGACTATAATCCCTCTTACTTTTGATTTAAGCAAAATTAAAAATGTATTACCTCAAATCCTTTGTCTTCAGACTAGCAAGTGAAAAAAGACAATGATCATGATTTATATTCAGTGTAAAGAACTGTTGTTTTATGCAATACACACTGCTATTTGATTCATTTTGAGAGTGGACAGTTTGATGAAAATATGCATCTCATTAAATTCCACTCTTTACCTGACATAAATGAATCTGTTTGTGTTATAGTCTCAGCTTTATTGTGGTTGGTTCCAATCATAATCAAATTTCTTTCTACACCTTAGATAGTTTGCTGTTTTATTAAACAAAACATGCTGAAGACAAGTAAAACATTTGAATAATAATAGAAGATATAAGAATAGAATAATAGAAGCTCATACAGATTTAATATGCATTGATTTTTATGTTATGACACTACTACAGTGCTATGCATAAAGACAGTACAGATTCTTGACTTAAGTAAACAATCCCAATATTTGTTACGCAATTGCTGCTCCAAAGATATGTCCGTTTCGTTCAGCTGGCACAATAGCATACTTCAAAATTAACACCTGCATGCAAGTAGCACTGTATTTGAATTTATTTATTGAGGTACGTTTCATTCAGAGCCCGTCTCTATTTTGCTGCCCTGATGTCACTCACTCACACATTCACACGTGGAACCCGCCCAGTACAGCCACACCTTTTCTCTTGACGGAGAAACAAGTACTGTTGTTTTTTGTTTTTTAACTTCTCCACTTCACTGTGTCAGTGTAGAGACTGAACTTTCCAGCCCCCAGGCCCACTTCTCTAATCCTTAGGCCACCACTGCCCAAGAAGAAGAAGAAGAAAGACACAAGTTTAAAATCATTCCAGAGTGTTTTTTATTTCATTGTCCTTGTTGTATTGCCCACCCTCCCTCATCCCTATTGCTGCACTCATTACAGGGATATGGTGCTGATTCCATTTTACAGCAGAATAGATGAATAAATAAGTACAATTCATCTCACTACACACACGAAGAAAGAAAAAAAATCCATTCAAACCATCAATTAATAAATATGATTACATCTAGCTGTCCTCACTAATGTACATCCACATTGTTTATGCTTTGGGATGGTAATCAATTTAAAAAGCCTATACATTACATCTATGTGAAAACCCCTTAGGAAAATTGTTTTTTGTCTTTAAAAGTCGTTGTTTGTTCTGTTTGCCTTCGGTAAACGGAATTCCTCAGCTTTGCTTACATTACAAAGTCGTGCACTAGCAGCAGTGGCTGTGGGCAGCTGTACACAACCTACTATTAATGGGCACCAACAACTACTCGCCCTTTTCTAGTCAAACGCTAATGGTCCCAGTGTAGCAAGGCAAAATGCATGCATTGCCCTGTACCCTGGTTTGCATCATTTCTTTTTTTTTCTATTACCTGACATACACTTTGTGCAAAGATGGATGAAATGAAGGTTGTGATTGTGTCAACTGTAGAGAAGGAAATCTGATGATCATTAGAGTGGGCCGGTGCTTCTTATAAACAAGGAGCATGCATGCAGCAATGTCCTGTAGAGATGACTTAATGAATAAATGAGTGAAGTAAATACATGATATGAACAGCAATTTGGATGTGGTTCAAACACCAAGATGCAGTGCATGGAACAATTTGTAAGGCAGGAGCTGCTACTCTTTCCATCATAGTTCTGCTCTCAAACAGCAGGATTTGGTTTTGGTCTAATTGCATGATGCCTGTGTTGAACGTGATTTTAGTCTTTGTTGCATCAGATCAGGGGAGATGTACCAGGCCCTGCTTAAGGTGCTGCTGACCGAAATAAAAATCTGCTATTTTCCATTGCAGATAGCTTCAATTAGTGTCCCACAAATGACATCTTCTCATACACTGGATTTAGGCTGTGTTCGGCTGCTAGGTTTAAACTTGTATGGGAGAGAACAGAAGCAGAGAGACAGGAAGTGTGAAAGGACGGCTCAACGTAAAAGTGCTGATGAGTTTCTGCTGCTGGGGACAGAGCATTTGATGGTCGGTTAGGGTGGATAGCAGTTAGCAGTATGTAGAAGATTTCAAATGCCTAAATTACAACTAATTGAAGTAAGAAATAAAGATAAACTACAATACATAGTATATAATTCCTTTGCATGCATGCATTTACTGTGTCAAAATTAAATGAAAAGCATGTTAAAGGGTGAATACTATACGGGATTGTTTGGTCTTTAATAACTAAATAAATTGTTTTTTATTGTGCTGTGAATTTCCAATGGTACATTCAAATCCAGACATGAGAAAACAACAGCTGTCCATTGTTTTTGCACCTGCTCATAAAAGCTAATGATAGGTTTATATTTAGTACTGGCAGAACTGTGCTGCCCTCTGCTGGACAACACCGAAATGCAATACATTGATTTTTGTTTTGTGATGTATTTGTAATGCACCATGGAAAATTCATGTTATAGTGGAAAAAAATCAGTTGAAAACTAAATAATTGTCCTTTTAACATATGTTTTCATGTAATTATAATACAGTAAATGCGTATATAAATGGGAATACGCATAGTAATGTGTATTGTATTGTATTTCTCTTCATTTCTGTTTGATTGTGTTTTGTTTAGGTATTTTAAATTGCCCACAGTAGGGCCTGGGTTGGCTTGCTTTACCAAGGCATGTTAGGAGTAAGGTGTCACTGATTTGTCCCAGTGCAGATCAACGGTCAAAGCAAATCTCTGTGTTGATGAGAACGAAAATGAGGTCCACCGGCCTTCACATGGAGATGTTGCTGTAGAGCTGGTCAATCTTGTCCTTGAAGAATTCCTTCAGCTCTGGTCTCTTGGCCTTTAGTGTTGGAGTCAAGAGGCCGTTTTGAATGGAGAACATCTCACTCTGAACGTAGATGTTCTTCACCTTTAAAAGCAAAATGGAAAAGAGTAGAAAGGATGGAAGGAAGATGAATAAGACCAAGATTCTTGACAGTTTCCCCAGGCTATTGCAGACTTCTTTGGTTATTAACATCAGCCTTTGCTTATCCAAAGAAACAAGCACCTACTCTATGTCAGCAATACTAGCAAACACTTTTCCATATTTATAAAGCTGAAGCTACAGATGTTTACAGTTTAGTCAAGTATAACCAGATGTATCTAAAATTTGCTGCAGAATAAATATTTCCCTGTTAGCCATTGCATAGCTTGTGGACCCAATAAAGATATATGTATACAGACATAGTATAGCTTTAAGACCATAGTTATATTTTGTATATTTCTGTCTAAAATACAAACATATAACTGCCTGCCTACCTGCTCAAAAGAGTGTAGGCCACTAGCTTTGCCTAGACGCACCAAATCTTCAAGGATTGCTTTCTTTAGTTCCTGTTGACAAAAGAAGTTCAATATTTTCAACATCTGTCATTAACAGTGTGATCCACAGACTGATTATACCTAGCGAAAGCCTGAGCCAGGTGTCACCTACCGTGTTTTTACAGAGGTCCTTGTAGGTGCCTAATATTCCTTTCTTCTTGGCCCATTCAGGCATGATCTCAGGGTCAGGAACCACAATTCCCACCAAACAGGACTGGAGAGAGCAAACACAGACATTAGCGGGGAAAGTAAAAAGACTGAGGACTAATTCAACTTAAAATGGCATGAGATGGGTGACCATGTATTTTATTTGTCCTGGTTTAATATGGAGCACATCAGGCTCTCAGTAGCTCTTGAGTACAAGAATTGAAGTAGGTGACCTAATTCATATCAAGGTCTATGGGAGAATAATACACTGTGTATGCATGTGAGTCTGTCATTGTCATTACCTGCAGACTGTCTCCATGAACATAGAGCTGTGCCACAGGTTCACTCCTGATGTAGATGTTTTCAATCTTCTCTGGGGAGATGTACTCGCCCTGTGCCAGCTTGAAGATATGCTTCTTCCTGTCGATGATCTTCAGTGTGCCATTCTACAGGAAAGAGGGGTTATACAGAAATATGATGAGCAGAGGAAACAAAAGGAAAGGTCATTGTGTAATATGTGAGGCACCATGCATTATAACCTAAAAGACTGGAGTCTGTACACTATATATACGTACAGGTAACCATTTGCCGATGTCTCCGGTGCGGAGCCAACCGTCTGCGTCCAGTGTCTCAGCCGTTCTCTCTGGGTCTTTGAGGTAGCCCTTAAAAACGTTTGGTCCCTTCACATAAATCTAGATGGAAGATTCGAAAAGTGGAAAAAGCTTGAGGTCAGAGGTGCAACATTGTTTATGCACTGTATTACTTGTACAAACACTAACACAAGTTGTACATTTTTATTCTTATAGAAAGTATGTGCCTATCCTATTTTACACCTTTCCCCTACATTAAACATATTTTAAAAGACTTGGATTACTTCTTTTTTCTCAGTAGAGATGAGATCTGTTAGTTCTAGAAATCAACTCAAAGCCTTTTTCTGCTTTAGTAAAGATTTTTAATGTTGCTTTTTTCACAGCTGGTCTTGTTTATTTAAAATAATCAATTCAAAGTAACATTATAAAGAACTTATAATTAACTCATACATCATAATGAACACATGCTTGCATGTATATTATGTTTATTTCATAATCACTCTGCTTACCTCTCCCTCTCCCTTAGAGGCAAAGTAGTTCTTCTCAGGAACATCCACCAGTTTAATAAGGTTACATGGCAACGGGGCACCAACGTGACCTATTCACAAAATCACAGCCAGAAAAATCATTAGAAAACTCACCAAAATAACAATATCATTTTGTTTGTTTCATTTGGTTACATCCATTAGCCATGATTGTCAACATGTCAATGAAAGCTAAAGGAAAAGAAGTACATAAAATTTGTGTTTAAAGAAAATGAAATAAATATAGCTGATGAACTATCAAAACTGAGCAGCAGGGGGGGATGCTAGACTACAGTCTGATGTTAGATCACTGTTGTTTCAAATCTTATGGAAGCATCTGGTGTGAACTACTCAGAGGTTAGGTTTTGGGATGACTGAAGTAAAGGGGGACAAAGTATAGTGAGAATCCAAAGTCTGACACAGCTATGCTAGTTACTAGGTATCTACTCATGCATGTTGTTACTTGTACTGTCATGTTGTTGCCTTTAAGTAATATTTATCTTAAGCATTTTGACTTGCCTTTGTATATGAAGTGTACTATAGAAATAAATTTGCCCTGCCTTGGCTAAACAACATAATTACTGAGCATCACACTCCCTTGCTACAAGAAGCACAACAGGATAGGACACATTTCACGTAGTGCTCATGTTGTTCTTTTGCCTTATTTGTAGTTATGCATAATGTTCTGTGATGGAATGTTGTTATTATTGGCATTGTTACTCTAAAAAAATATGGGGATATTTTCAGCAGAGGGAGGAGAACCAGTTTTAGAACCACTCAAGAAAGTTCACTGTCTCTTTTAAAGCTTAAGTCCAACTTTATACTGAGCACATTCTAAACAATCTTTTCTTCTAAATATGCAGTGTTTTCCCACAGTGTGTTCTTCTCCAGTCAAGTATCAGTAGCTGGGAAGGACCAGTGGTTCAGTGGGAGATGTACATGTAACAGTGGATGTTTCTGACTACATGTGCAGTTCATTCTTTTACTGATTCAAAGAGTATGATTGGGAATTACATTTAATATCAACAATTAGACTTATAGTGATATCTTAAAGTACAAAAATGTAATTTGGCAGCAACAATACAATTGAAATATACAAGTTATTGCTACTAAGGTGCATAACTTTTTGCCACATGAGAATACTGTCCTGTGTCATAAGCTTTCAATACAAATGTTTGTGCATGCTTCATATAAAGGACAAAAAAAGATAATTATAATTCCACAACTAATAGTAAGATACTGAAAATGCTAATGCTAGTGTGCTAACAAATGCTTTGATGTACAGTATAAAATCCTCAACAACAAAAATGTTTGTACAGTAACTGACAACTATCACTCCTCTGTATCCCAATGTGCATGCAGATGAATCCATATTTTGGCTTTCACAATTACTAAAATCCCTACTCATCACCATGTCCCCGTCAGGAATTAAGTGGATTTATTTAGTCACTTGAAAATGAGATCAAACCATTCCCTGGGGATTACCTACTGAGTTTACGTTATCCCAAACCAATTTTGGGTAAAGCTCTGTCCACATAGCCTTGTCTTGTGAGTGAACTGAGCGGGTGATGGCATGTTCATCAGATTCCCAGGAACAGCAGTGAGCTGTCAAGTGATTTTGGTTTGGTGTGGTTTTGGCTCATGTACATGTTTCATTGGTTGGCCTCTGAAAAATACTCTCATATACACAGCTTTTGAACCACAAATGTTTTCAGTGTATACATGCTAGGGGATCATCTTTCAGTGGAACAAACATGTCACCATCATGAAACACTATCCACTGTCTTACATAGCTCCATACCATTCTAATAACATTCCATCCACAGACTTGTTATTACATGAAAAGCAAACCCTAAGAGTTTTCAAAATTTCTAGATATTTAGTTATAACAACAAAAACAACAACAAAAACAGTAGTAGCCAATTATTCTTTGTGACATTGACCTTCAAAACATAATTTTTATTGGTTTGAACATACAGCTGAAAGAAGAAACAAAGATTTTATGTTAAAATGTGCTGGTTTGTTTTGGTTTAATACTTAGAGTAAATGTATTATTGGATATCAGTCTTCACAGAAAGGCACACTTTACAATAAATCAGACAGCTAATTATAACAGATCTTCAAGTCTATATATGGACAAAGGTCACTTGGAAAACTACTATCAGTGCCAAGAAGTCTAACTATGCAGCATGCTACTGGGTAAATGCAGGCAGTTATGGCAGCTACAGTACTTATTCACATTTGCTGTTGTTGGCAATCACCTAAGCAAGCATGATGACTGTTAATAATGTTGTCAAACAGCTCCATCTCACCCTTTGAAGCCTCTCCCTTCTATCACCTTGATCTACTGGATATCTTCCCCCTCCACACTGGTGCTATGCTTTCCCCCCCCCCCAAGGTGCCACGTGTGAATCACTCCTCAGGAGCAGAGCTAATAAGTGTCTGGAAATATGTGTCTCATTATCTGAGCATCTTTGACCCCACCCCACAGAGCAGTCACGGTATTGAACTTTGGCAGTGTCACCAAAGCATTTAGATGGCAGGTTGACCTGGGGAGCAGCAGTGATGTTTACAGACTGTGCTCAATTAAACCCTATGTCAACATGGGAGATATCCACTCCTTAAAATCATGAACTAGCCACATCCCTTTTAGGCCTTGAACTGAGCCTACAGTCAAGTAAACAAGGTCAGTGACTCAGGCAGAGATAAGGACCTGGCTTTCTTATCCAGCTGTGGTGCACAGATGTAGGCTTACCCGGTGTCCAGTCTCCAGGCGTAGTGTAGGTGCAGCCAGCTGTGCACTCTGTCTGGCCATATGCCTCATACACCTACACACAGACACAGACAGTGTTAACAGAAGGGCTCTGGGAAGCATTTGAGTGCAACCACATATTATTTATATATATGTGTATGTGACTGCTGTTATTCACTCAAACTGTGAAAAACCTGGGCAGTGTTATTTGATAGCAGCCTCAAATTTGACAAGTAAATTAGTTCAGTGGTCAAAACAAGCTTCCTTCAGCTGAGGCTCCTAGCAAAGGTGAAGCTGTTTTTATCTCAAGGCGACCTACAAACACTCCAAAGAATGCTCACATCACCCCAGTTCTTCGGTCCCTTCACTGGCTTCCAGTGCAGTTCAGAATAGATTTTAAAATGTTACTGTTTGTGTTCAAGGCCATTAATGGTCTTGCGCCAGTCTATTTGACCGAACTTTTAACCATTTATACCCCGGTCAGAGCATTGCGTTCCTCTGAGCATGTGTCTCTGGTTGTCCCGTGGGCAAGGTATAAAAAGTGGGGAGATCGTTCTTTCGCCATGTATGCCCCCAAGCTCTGGAATGCCCTGCCCCCTGAGGTTCGATCTATAACGGAATTAATGGTTTTTAAGTCTAAATTAAAGGCACATTTATTCAGACGGGCTTTTGGCATCTAATATTTAGCAGCAATGCTATACAGGGCCTACAAGCCATCCTGATTTTATATTTTGCAATCTTACTCTCTCTGTATTTGGACTCATTTTCATTTTACAAGAATTTTATGGTTCTTATAGATCATTGTTTTAAACTTGTGCAATGTTAACCTTTTTTGTTTGTTTGTTTGTTTCTTTATGTAATTTTGGCAATGCTCTGTTTTATCTCTGTTTTATTGTGAAGCACTTTGAGCTCCTTTGTTGTAAAGTGCTATATAGACAAATAAATGATTATTACTGTGAGTAGTTTAAGTGCATGTTCCCTATAGTTTTAGACCATGAGAGTGAGGACATAAAACATCCAGCTGTTATGGAGCAGCATTATCATTTACCTGGAGCCATGTTTCTGGTTCTGCCTGATGAATATAAGTCCAATGTTTTTTAGCTCTATTTTGGTCTCCTGAAGGAAATATCCAGCTCTTTAGTTGTGTCACTATATTCACCAGCATGTCTCCAGCTGTGTTTGTCTGCTGTTTGGTGCTGAACAGTGTACAGAGGAGTCTTAAGTCTTTTTGGCTGAAAACAGCTGCCTGCTGTGGCTGAGACACAGCTAAACACTGAGCTGAAACTCGATTCAAAACTCATTAAATTAATTAGATTCCTCACAAGAACAGAAGTATAACATGTGTGTGTGCGGCTGTGTGTGTTTTTCACCTGGCACCCCAGAGCTGCTCTGAGGAACCCCAGGACAGTGGGTGAGGTAGGAGCTGCTCCTGTTATTACCATCCTCAACCTTCCTCCCAGGCTGTTCTGTACAAAGGGAAAACACATTATTAACACAAAATGGGTCTTAATTTCTGTTTTCAATACTGCTATCACTACTACTACTGCTAATAATAATAATAATAATAATAAACAACTTGATGTTTCTGCTGGGTTGGAAATAATGGACCTTTTTTTCTCAGCCATCTTCCTGCTATGAGCACGGGGCTAATAAACTCTTCTGGTTATTTAAATTGAGAGATTTCTGTATTAGTTGTTTCTATCTGGTCTTCCCATTGGTGGCTGAGCTCAGTTAGAAGAGGATATGTCTCTGATACGGCTCATTTATCAGTGAAATCTAAACAAGCCACTCCCACACACGCCTGACGAAGCAGATTAGCTGAGTGTCTGTATTTTGGGTGAAAACCACAACATTAAATTCTGGCTTTGAGCTAACCTGAGACTGACTTCAAATCGACTTTTCCAGCTATTAAGCTATACTCTGAACTGCACTAAGCAAACAGGCAAGTATGAAGTGGCAGTGTTGTTGCAGGATATCAACAGCTAATGTAGTGGGTGCCTTACATTTAGCTCAGGGAGAGGAAACACTATTTACCTGAATCTTACTGAAGAAGAGTTTGTCCCAGATGCTGTCACTGCGAATGATCCCACTGCTCACTTCAGCACCTTTTTTCTTGGCAGCAAAGTTGAGCAGCCAGCGTTTCAGTGGAGTGTTAGCCTGGCTCAGGATCTGCACAGGAGACAAAGACTATGGTTGTGGACCGTCCCTCCTAATTCCAGCTGCTGAAAACTTGTACATTTAGTGATGTGAAACTGCCCAGAAATTAAAAAGAAGAAGGCAAAGCCATTGTTAATGCAAGAACAAAACTATTTTTTCCCTCTTACATGATTTGCCATGATTCTCTGTTAATTACATAACATGCCTTTCTGAGAAAACCAGACTTGGATTGCATTAGTCATTGTTGAAAAAAGGCACTTCATTTTATTCCTAAACCACAGCAGCAGTGCTGAATACACGACTCATAGAGGTAGTGGTAATCAGTTTCATAACATTTTCAAATCTGCAAATCCCTGTCAGCGTAGGAGTCATTTTCCAGAAGAGCAGCAATTTAACAGGAGAGAATCACACTGAATTAAACAAGTTCAATTTCTTTGTACCCACTTTCCTTAAACGTCTTTACTGTAACTCGTCATCTCACCTTGTCGTACATACGGTTGAGCAGCCGAGGCACCACAGGGAAAATGGTCGGCCGCAGGGCCTTCATGTCATCTGGGAGGAGGCGGATGTCGCCCTGATAGAACCCAATCCGTCCTCCATGGCAGTAGACAACAGACTGCAGACACATAACACACGCAGCAAACTTAAATGAATTAACCATGTGGTATCCTTTACAGAGGAAATCCTACAATTGTAGTGTAAGTTTAATAATAAAAAAGTCCCATTATTATCAAAAATTGAAAATTAATGGAGCTAAGAGAGAAAATAAACCTTTCTAAAATTCTGCACATAATTTGATGGATAGTGAGTGGTGAGGGTCACAGTAATACCTCACTGTACTAACTCTGTTTACAAGAATTACATGTGAATGGGTAAATTAGAGATGAGCCTAGTGTAGTGGTTAAAAATAAACAAGGCAACTCCTTGTTGGGCAATCACATGAAATGCCAGTTTACGTGTTCGTCATCGTATTTGTTGTTAATGTTTCAAGTTCTCATTTCCACAGTCTGAAGTGTCATCATTTAGCAAGTGTCATCGGTGCTCCATCAGAACCCATGGGTATCAAAGTCTAACCAATTCATTATGCTATAAATGAGCTAAAACAAAGATGCTAGTTTGTGGAAGATAGTCATTGTTACTACCAGCGGTGGATTCTATACTTAATTAAAAGAATCAGTACAATGTAAAAAGTAAAAGTGATGAAGTATTAAAAGCTAAATGTAGATAAAGCATCAAAGCAAAAATATTTGTGCATGAAAATGACTTTAAGTGGAATAAATACAAAGTATATCACAGGATTTTTAATCATTGTTACTGTATGTTCAGTTGGCCTGACCTCTAAAGTAATTTTATGACACACATGCTTATTTGCAAAATGAACTGAGTGAGGAATAATTCTGCAAAAATCTGTTTGTTGTGAAGAGACTGTGAACAAAATGCATCTGAGGACACAAGAGAAGCAAAAGGTCCACCCTCTTTTTTCCCTTTGATTGAGGCATCACTGGTACCACATGCGGTGTGGTATGCATGTGTCGCGCTTGCTTTTTTTGTGTGATCTGATCTGCTGCTTTCTGGGGAAGTTAGGTGGATTCCTGTGTCTGAGTCTCACGCCGCTGACAACACTGCTGTATGGTTGCAGGCACACAAATCAGGCTGGTTCATGATGAGGCAACCCCACCGCCCACACACACACACACACAAATATACACACTTACTAATCCACTAAGTGAATTATACTGGAGGACCCAAGTTTATTTAAGGAGACAAAAAAGCAGTCTCAGAACATCATCTTTGAAATGTTAGATGTTTCAGTACTGATCACTGAGGACAACAAGCAAGTTCTTAGTAAAAACATTTGCTTATGTCCATGCTCTGTCCCTGTCTGAGGTCTTGATGGTAACTGTTCTATGTTGTGTCAAAACAATTAGCAAAACATGGATGGAAAGTGATGGTTTGAAAACCATTATAAAATATAAATAGACACCAGTGAGGGCACATTTCTGAAGAGAATCATGATATGCAAATGCTTAACAGATCTCTGACTTGGCAGGTTTTGTTTAAAGCAAAACATGTGCATGACTAAGACTTCACACTGGGAAAGTATCCAAGTAAAACCAGTGGCATGAATGGAAAAAGTGATACATTTATAGTTTTGCAAGTTTGACTAAAACTGAAACTGAAAATTCAGGCTGGTTTCTACAGTCAGTTCAACAGTAGACCCTTGTTAAACCTAGACACTATTACAGGGCTAGTCTCCGTGTCCAGAGGAGACTATGCTTAAACAGCACAGAAAGATGGTTCCGTTCAAACACTGCTGAAACAAGAACTTCTTCCCTGCAGTGAAGTGACCCCCCGGAGGAGCTGGAGGAAGTGTCTGGAGAGAGGGAGGTCTGGGCATCTTTGCTTAGACTGCTGCCCCCCGCGACCCGGTCCCGGATAAGCGGAAGAAAATGGATGGATGGATGGACTATTACAGTGACCCCCAGTCTAAATATCCCAACAAGGCCAAACTCCTCAGGCTGCAGCTTTGGCTCCAAAATAAAGTACAAGGTGTTGTGAGGGAGGCATCTGCTTTATGACCCAGTGCAAGTAGGTTAACAATCAAATGCTTTGTGTGTGCTTTAGTAGACTAGGAAATGATGCAACATGTACATGATTTGCTGTACTTGGAAACAAACTGGAAAATAGAAATGAAAAGAAATGAAAAGAAAGGACTAGGAGCATCCCCCTCTTTCTCCTTCCCACACACTGGATAAATACAGTGTCAATATTCATAATCTTAGTGCAAATCCTTCTTCTGCCCCCACCACCCCCTAACATCCTGAAACGCATAAACAATATCTATTACATTCCTGCAGTCACAAATCATAGTCCAACCCATTTACCTCGATCAGCCTCTCAAACATGTGAGCCAGCGGCAGGAAGGAAATGAGGCAGTCGTCTTTGTTGGGGCAAATGACTTTCTGCAGGAACAGAAGGGAGTAAATGGTAATCTTAAAAGTGGCCCTGCAATGTAAAAGCATATAATCACAATAGAACCAGACTGATGAATCACTTAACAAAGTGAGATGTCTTTGATAAGCCTTCCAAACAACTGGGGGACAGATTTGATGAGCAAAAGACAAAAGAAGAGAGAGTCACTCACATCTGTTACTTTGAGGAAGCCTGCGAAGTCTGCTACCACATTCCCATGGGTGAGCATGACTCCTTTTGGATTTCCTGTGTAAGCACAGAGAAACACACATACACACAAACACCAAGGTTGTGAAACTCTTCTCACCTGCCTGATGGGTTATAAAGTCATCTATAAAAGAAATCTAATATGGAACAACAACCTGGGCCGTCTGTCACTCATATTACACGTCTAGAATACAAGAATAATTTCTGTTAACAGACCATGTGTAAACAATGTGTATCTGTGGCAACAGCACTTTAAAAAAGAGGCTCTTTCCTGACTTTTAGCTTTTTTTGTGATTACTGAGGTGTTTTGCTATTTCTCCAGCAGCCAAAATGTACCATTTTTATTCTCCATTACTCAAATGTCCCTCCATTCTTCTGTGGTCGCTAAGAGGCAGTGACTCTTAAATCCAGTCTTAATCTCTCTAGACATGCCATCTGGCTCCCACAGCCATGAACAGTATTTTAGGTTCAGACATGAAGAGATGTTGCAACAGATACTCAGGAAATTCTCGGGAAATGCAGGGTGACTTGAAGCAACTTAAACGCGTTGGCGTAGTGGGGCGAGTTCTCTCTCAAAGCCAGTATGTGGCAGTGTCTTCAGTGCTGAGCTGCAGCTGGTATCACTTGTAAACTGACACCAGTGGGTCCTCACATGACTCAGCTTTTGTTCCCTTGACCACTGGTTTCAGTGGTTGCTGTGGGATAAGAACGTCTGAAAAGCAGCAGTGCTCACTCATCACTCACATGGATGTTCTGCTTTCTCCGGCATGTCAGAACATGCTGGGGAATCCAGAGTGGACATTTACTGTATTTAATGAAAGGAGGGAGAGGGTGAACTCTGGTTATTAGGTCACTCTGTCGTAGTGAAGAAACTGGATTCCTTTACAGTAAATACACATCATCCTGTCTGTGTCGCCTTTGATCAATTTATAGGTCCAAAATTCATGACAGTCACAAGAGTCAGAGAGCTGCTCTGTTGTATATGTGAACGCCAGTGTTATATATGTTTGTTATATGTTTTTTTTTTGACAAGTAAAATCCAAAATGCATTACACAGAAATAGCTGTGTACTGAATTTCAGACTGATCTTATCTATCAGACAAAAATCATTCTTAGAAATGTCCTGGAAACACTTTTGTTTAGCAAGAGACCTAAACCATAAGAAAACCTATGAGTCACAGAAGCATTAAGTATCACAAAATGTACTTAAAATATGTGACATTTTAACAGTAAACTGGTTTTATTATTGCCGTTAATTCAGTGATTAATCTTGAGAACCAAACAACACAGTGAGGGCTTTTTATTATCAATCCCAAACTGGAACGCTGCTTAAACCTGCTGTGTTACTAACTGCTGCATGACATTAGACCAACACCTTAAAAGTAAAGAGCAGGTGACCTACCAGCCCAGTGTTATTAGTGAAACAGACAATACACTATTGCTTGAAAACCAGCACAGTGCTCCAGGTTTGAGTTCATGGCCAAACATTGCTATATGAGAACATTTTAATCCAAGGAGCTTTATAAACATTCAATGAATGCAGAGCACATACTGTAGCTGTTTTGCGATTATCCCTTTGTAAGTGCATCAGATAATAGGTCAAGAATATTGTTTCTGCTGACAGATGTCATTAAGGGAAATCATATTCAAGGTGTGGTTGTTGGTTAATTACACTGGAACACACTGTGTTTCTTGGCTTGGGATGGTGCCAGCTAAAAATATTAACAGAAGCAAAGGTAACAGTTTTTATCCAAATGGTGCATTTTTAGATACTTAATGGACAACCCCTAATAATACATTTTATTTATTTATCATTAGCTATTTCTCATTAAAAGTTGAATGTGTGATTGACTTGTCTGTTAACAAGCGTAAAATGACATGCGTGTAACAATAACAGGGATAATAATAGAGATGATAAATAGATACTGATAGCATTGTTAGCCAGTTAGCTGCATTGCCCATGCAGAAATAATGCATGTTATTTACATAAACTATTAATACCTGTGGTTCCACTGGTGAAACACACAATGGACAGGTCGTCTGGTGCTGGTGGCTGTGGAGAATAAAACTATTAGTCACAAAACTTAGTTATTATTACATACAGTTATAATGTTTTGCTGGTGTTTGTTTGTGTGGGTTTGTTCACAGCATAACTCAAAAGGTGGATTTAGATGAAACATTTTGCAGAGGTAGGGTACGGTCCACGGAATAATCCATCATGGTGCTGATCGGGATCATATCCAGATCCAGGAAGTTTTAAAAACCCTCTTTGTCATTGTGAAATAGAGCCTGTTTCAACATTTTTTTCTCTAACTCAATACACAATGCCTAGAATGCCTGGACATAAAATACACAGTATAAGACATACCACACACCAAAGTCTGATCTGCATCCAAGTAATGTTCCGGATATGGTGATACACAGCATTCAAATTTATAGGGCTCACAAAAAACTCACTACTTTGAGACAACAAGCTACAAGCTAGGATCAAACTATAGCTGAAACTCTGCTGACTCAGCAAAGGGTCAACAAGTTTGATGCATCTTCAACAGCTGCTGCACTAGATCCTGAAGAAAACCACCATTACTGAATTATTGCTTGTCTTGAATAACTTTCAAACTAATAATGATATCAATTTAAGATAGATAGATAGATAGATAGATAGATAGATAGATAGATAGATAGATAGATAGATAGATAGATAGATAGATAGATAGATAGATAGAAATAGATAGAAATACTTTATTAATCCCAATCTGGGAAATTGCATTGTTTCAGCAGCGGTTCACACTCAATATCAAGCACACATACCAATAAATAGAATAGATAACTCACTAAAAATATAAAAATATAAAACAAAATAAAAAATGCATGGGTCCATATTCATGGTCAAGGAGTCATATTATAAGGGTTGAAGCATTATTAGCATTATTAGCATTATTATTCCTTTTAAGTGGCATTATGAGGGCAGTAGATAAAGAATCTTTATACATGTTGAGCTGCATTCATAGTTTGTGGCTCTGCCTCCTTTCTCTGTCATCACATCTGCAGTAGTGTGTGTTCATGTGTGACGGGCTAATATGCGCTCCCCAACACTGTTTCAACAAAGGGTAATCTATGTGCATACTGGAATGTGTTACAATAGAATAAACAGTAGCTTCGCTGGCTAACACCCAGCATCATCCCAGAGGGATCTGACTGGATAGTCACTGTTCAGTACTGAGTCTCTAAATAACAGCATGTGAAGATCTGTCACATGATTTTGTTTTAGAATAAAAAGCAAGTGACAGTTTTCAGCAACACTATTGTGTCATTCATCTATCTATAATCTCACAGATGACCAAAATAATTTGTTCAGTTACATGTGCTGTTAAAATAACTGCGTATATTTACACCGATATGGAGCTATGAGTCTACCGCCATGCTCGTGGCTCTGTGGAGCCATGCACAGAATGATAACCTTAACATGCTGAGGTCTAGCAGGAACACTGTTTACTATGCTCGCCATCTTAGTTTAGCATGTTAACATACTACTGTACCATTTCATCATTAGTTTGACTTAGCACTTACTATAGGTTTTTTGTAGTGCTCTCTGCCCAGAGTCTGTAAGGAAAAACAACATGAAAATAACAATTACTAGTGCAAAAATGGCTTTAAAATCATATTATCAGACATAGATTCAGTGTCATTCCCTATGACTCCTTGAATATTGAGTGTCTAAAGCAAGAATAGCATACCATGGCTCAATCATCTGGTTATTAAAGGTCAAAAATATGTGGGTTTGTGTTGATGGGAGCCAGCATGCTCAAAAAACCATCTCTAGAAATGTGAACTTGTCAAGAGACCCTGTATTTGTGGTGATTTATTTTGCTGCATTCGTGACTGCAGGTCACAGCATTTGAAATAACTTGTCACATTTCTTGTAAGCAACCTGGTAAACCAGCAGAGCCAGGTGTCACACTGACGCATCGATGAAGGTCAGTCAACACAGAAAAATGGCATGCGCACATGTGACCGCCAGCTACTTTCCTGTGACTGTTTTGACTTACTGTAACTCATTTGAATGGCTCGTAGGCCTATAAAGCCCTTATTTATTTCAGGCATGCTAAATGTTTCCCCCTTTCCTCCATATTTGTGTTTGTGTGCACAGAGAAAGGGAAGGAAAAAAGTCTGCTTTTATCATTTATTGCCCTTCAGTAAAGGAATTGCTATAATCTGCTGGATCATTTTGAACAAATGCACATTGGATCAGTGTGTACTTGTTGTGATTGAACTAACAAAGCATCAACAATTAGGGGAATGAAAAGAGCAGTGAACTAAATGATCACCTCAGATATAAAGTCACAACAACACATGACAGCTGTATATTATGTTGTGTGTGTGTGTGTGTGTGTGATTTCATGGTTGCGAAACCCCACATTTGTCAAATTCGGCACCATGGAGATACAGTAAAGAACTCACCTGCTCTGTAATGTTCCTAACAAACATCTTATTTTGTGCTCGTATGTTGACCAAATCTAAACATTAGTTTGTTTTGACCTGCTGCTCATGGAATTTCAGCTTGTGCATAGTTGAGACTTTTAGCACACTATAAAGAAGTGTGGAATCACTGAGGCCACTACGGTGGTGACAGCAGTTAAACAGCTTGGCCATCTTAAACAAATAGTTTGAAATTGGTTATGACACTGACTATAGGAGAAAAAATGATTATTAATTACCATATTAGTTACAGTTACATTTTTGGTCCGGCTTCCACAGGATGGTTGTGAAAATCTTATTTAGTAGCGCAGCCCTTGGTAGCCAAGCAAACATCTAGATTACAGCAAACATCTTCATTGGTATTTTGATGACTATCTTTCATTGTGTGACAAGTTCTGCCTGATCCCTGTGATATGTCTTGGCAGAAGCTATACAACTGCTTCTTCACCTATACTACCCCCATATATTTTAGATGACTAGCACTGAGTCAAATCCCCCGGCAGCATACCACAGTTGTTTTTCTATCTACATGTCATACCTCCACTTCCTGCATGGCCTGCACATGGATGCTGCAGCCCTCACCACGTTTCATGAGATCGGAGTCAAAGGCATCCATGAGGATGATTCTTCGCAGGCTGGGAGTCTCCTTCCGCTCCATGTTATCCAGGAGCACTTGAGCTTTTTCTACTTTGTCACAGATGACTGTGGTGATTTCAGCTGCAATGAGACAGACACACAAGAGCAGACGCACCCTTGTGTTAATATCCACAGAATGGGAAAAGAAAAAAGAACAAAACAAGACAAAAAAAAAAAAAAACAGGGCCAAATGTGGGTTTAAGGTTCCTGTGAAGTTCAGTCACATTTTATGTGCATGTTTCTCTTCAGTGCAGCTGTAAGTTGGTTCATTTCTAGTTCAAACTGTTACATTCAGTTTAATACAAGCACTGTTTATGAGGTTAATAGCTGAGTAGCCACCCACTTGCACTAGTTTGAGTTCTCACATCATGACAGTGCGTGGCCTTTGCAGTCTTTAAATAAGCTTTAAGCCAGGAAGTAACACACTGTGTATAAAGTTGACAACAGTGCTTTCAGTCACCAGTGAGGGGAGCTCCACTGCTGAAGGAGTCAGTAACACTGTGTCAGCAGCTCTTTCAAAACCCAGACACATTATTCTTACATGTCTTTTGACATCATGGTTTCACTTTATTAAATAAAATTATTTAGTTGCATGCTTCGGGGTTTATTACTTCAGTGAGGAGACAATTGTTTGTTGTATTTAGATCTGTTTTCTCCGCAGGGCGGCCGGGCGCACCCTTAGAGATAGGGTGAGGAGCTCGGTCACCTGGGAGGAGCTCAGAGTATAACCGCTGCTCCTCCACATCGAGAGGAGCCAGCTGAGGTGGCTCGGGCATCTGCTTCGGCTGCCTTCTGGGCGGCCTTCTAGGGCGGGGTTCCC